AGGGAGAGGGAGAGGGAGAGGGAGAGGGAGAGGGAGAGGGAAGCACTTAGTGGAAAACCAGGACTTGGGGCCATTCTGACTTCTAAATACTTACTTCCTGATAACTTGTTCTTTCAGACACATTCTTTGCTCATTTTCCTTTTTCCACTAGCTGCCTAGTGTCACTGAAAAGTAACAGCCTTTAAGCACTACTTTTCTATCTCAGAACTGTTCTACTGTTATTATCCTTGAATATTCATGTTGAGTCTGATTATAAATTCAGTAAAATAAGTGGAAAGACTTCAATAAGCTTTCTATCTGGACTTTGCAAAACTCTGTGTGCCCTTGCCTTGCACTGGCTCCAAAAGGAATGAAAGCTGCTCTGCCTATCTCAGGATTAGGAAAAATATTTTCAGCAGATTCGGGGACATAGTGCTGCAGTGTCTGGGCATGCTGATAAAAATATCTAATTTCACTTCATGGCATAACTGGATTTCTCAAAATTTCTTTAACAGTATAACAAATAGCAAAATCTGGCAATCTTTTCCGGGGCCAATTTGTAGTGGTAGGTAGCTTTTCAGAGGAGATTTGCCGTAGTAACCTCTGCTAAACTGGGTCTGTGTCATTTTGCCTTTATTTTTTTCCTTTTTCACATGACAATAATAATGTGCTTCAGTATTTCTATCTCTTACTGGTTTAAGCCTTCCTTTGACTGAAAAAAAAATCTCTAGACTTAAGTGACTTATTAAACATTAACTCTAGGAATGGTTTGTGGTGATATTAAAACAGAACACATGTTTGAGTGTGGTGTCTGTGTTTGTGCTATACCCACAAACAAAACTACATGAATGCCACTAACTGACAGCTGACTGGTTTCTTGTGTGTGTTCTAGATGCCCTGGCAAAGCAGAAGTTGAAAATTTTATTTTTTTTTTTTACTATTTACTTTCTACTTTTCTTCCCATGTCAAGACGAATAGTGCTAGTGGGAAGATCTCTGCTCCTGACTTTTAAAAGCAAGGGTTAGAACAACACTAAGTTAAAAGGAAAAAGAATATTTCTTTGCAATTCTAAACTTTCTAACAAATTTGGCTTAAATCCAGTTCAGTGTTTCTTAGTCAAGGAAATACAGTATTTGACTGTACTCCAATTATTTTCTTTTATTTATTTATTATTTACAAAACTGAAGTTTGGGTTCTCTGTACAGCCAAAGGGAGGAAAACAGGCCCAAAGAGAAGGAAATAGTCCAAGGGTAGTTTGCTGGAGTACAGAGTGGCTGGAAAGAGTACACTGGAGCATTATCATCAATACAATGTTCTACACAATTTGCTCTAGGAGATTTATAATAGTTTTCTATTTGGTGCCAAACTTCAGGCATGTCTGAATTAACTTCACCTGGAGGAATTTTTTGTTGCTTAAATGGAAGAGGATCTGGAGCTCTTGTCTTTATGTACATAATGAAACAGTTGCTAAAGTACCTCTCTGGAGTTACCTTTCCTGTATCACGCTTCCCTTTATGGCATGATTGGATTTTCTATACCCCTTTCTTCTGACTCCTTTTGAACTTAACAGGAAAGGTAAGGGCTACTTCCTTAGAAATCTGGTGCAAGGCCACCACTAAAAAGCCCAGAGAGCTACAGGGGCGAAACAAACTGCTCCTACATCAGTCCCGTGTTTTCTCTGCTGCACTTTGCCTAGGGGGTGTTCATGTGAGCCATGTTGATTATTTTGGAAGAAGCGAAGAAGTAACTTCCTGAACAGAATCTCATAAGTTACATTATCATTTATCAAAATAATGCTTCTGCCTCCAAGTCAGATACTGGCCTCTGGGTGAAAAAATAAAATAAAATTAAATTAAATTTAAAAAACGGTGCTATCAGGGCAGAAATCCAAATTAAATGCTCAGTAGTTCAATTTCATGATGGTTCTAACTATTGCGCTTTTTCACTAGCCTTTATCAATATTGGCTCTATGCCAGGGTATAAAAGGGCATATAGTGCAGTATCTAAGACAGAGAAATTTGATAAAATGGGACATTCCCTCCTAGGATGCAGAGACGTGTGTAGGCAACAGGGCACACTGGACAAACGCACAGCTGCTCCCTAAACAAGTTAAACAAACATCCCCGTGTCCAAAAGTTTTATAAGGTCAGAAAACTTAAAAGCGCGCTTCGCCCGGCACAAGTGGCTGCTCGCGAAAGCCCCTTCACCTACTAATTATTCGCAAAACCAGCGACAAGGGCACCTAGGGCAGGTAAATCCGGAGCCACTCCCTTGCCTGGGGACCCGCTGCTCGGGCTGCAAGCGGACAGCAGGTCCCCGCCGACTTTCCTCCCCACTTGTATCAGAATCAAAGCGAGAGAAGGGAAACTCACAGTCTGCGGCTGATCCCCTCCACTGATCTCCCGTAAGAAGGCATGGAATAACTCAGCAGAAACACTGCGAAACTCCACTGCTGGAAGAGTTTAGTGAACATTGTATCCTCCGGGTCTTAAAACCTGCAAGGAAAGGAAGTTCAGTCCCGAGTGATATATGCACCAGCCCCGTTCCCAACCGGTCCCTGCTTTTGGCAGCACCAGCTCCGAGATTGTAAAGGAAAAATAAACTTTCTCAACTCTCGGCAGCGGCTCCCTCCTCCCAAACTTTGTTCTATCCTCTCCCTTTCTTTTTGCCTGCTGCTCTCTCTCTCTCGCTGCTCGGAGGCAAGCTCTCTCTTAATATTGTTTAAAAAAACCCTCGAGCCCACATTTGCATCGGTTTAAAGCGCGTGTCCGCTCGTCTGCCTGAGCCTGTTCAACTGCCGTCTAGAAGGCGGCTGGGCTTAATGTTACAAGGCAAACCCTCTTTTCAGATAAGGAAAGCTTCCCCAAACTCATCTCAGCTATTCTCTTCCCTAGACAGACAGACACACACACACACACAGAGCAAGGAGAAAAGCATCTACACATCTGTCTGTACCTCTGTAAAGAAAACCAGGTTTACTTCCGTCGCTTCCGCAAAGTTGAGTCCACACTGAGTCAGAGGAAAGTGAACTCAAGCAAAAGTGTGTTGCGAGGCTGGGGAGCCAGAGAGGTCTAAGAGGAGCAGTAGCCGGGAAGCTCAGCGGCTGGGAAGCATGCTTGGCTCCGCAGGTTGGATTGGGCTGGAGTCTGCAATGTTCACACGCCCCGGAGCAGCCTCTGGGAGACCTGCAGGAGGACGGAGGGTTTTGCAAAGAGATGGCGCCCTAGGAACATGTGCAAGAGCGAGCGGAGCCCAGCGCGGGACACCCACAGCCAAAAGAGAGCCTAGAAATCAGCGCTTCCCAGGACCGGGATCAAAACGGAGCGGGGAAAGGGAAACGCGCAGCAGAACAGGCACGCAGCAGACCGCAGGGACTCCCGCAAGCTCCCTGCCTTTCCCGCAGCCAGGCTCTTCTCCCTCTGCCCCACCAGAGTGTTTACCCCTAGGTCGGCGCCTCCCCTGCCGCAGCGCAAGAGAAGGCCCCCCATCAGCGGGGCACTTTGCGGATCCAGCCCCAAAGCCTAGCCTGGGATCGTTGCCACCTTTCCTTTCACACACCTACCGTTGATCGTCGCGAGTTCACCTATTAGCTGCAGGGCTGGTTCCTAATGATGTTAATTGTATGCTAGTAAAGGGGAGGCGGGGGTGGAGAGGGGGGGTAAAGGGGAGGGCTGGGGGGAAGGACTCGCAGCCTGTGCACACGGGAGCTGCTGGCCAAAAAAATAAATCAGTGGAAAGTTTTCCTCCTCCCCCTTCTCGCGCTCCCTTCAGCTTCTCGGCGAAAGTCTCTCGGGGCCGGGGCGCTGCGCAGGGGGGTCCGGGGGGCGCCGCGGGCAGCCCGCGCCCCCGCCTGCCCCGCGCCCGCTGCCCCGTCGAGGCAGCGGCCGAATTTTCCATCACAGGAAAACACTTATGTAAAAAAACTAAAGGTAACACAATCCGCCCCTTTATACAGCCTCCTTGCGCAAGAAACTGCCCCGGGCTATTATGAAGTAACGTATGGGGAGAAAAGCCTGTGATTTTTTTTTTTTTTTTTTTTTTTTTGATGCCCTCTCTCCCTATCGCCTGCAGCCAGATTTTTTTTCCCCCCCCCCACGAAAAATAACTTGTAAGCCAATCTTCTGAGGAACTATGTAGTAACAGAAGATGGCTTTTCCTGCACTCCTTGGCCCTGCCCAGGTGTTTTCCGGCAGGAATAAACACCTGGGGGACACGGGCTCCCCCTCGGCCGCGCGCGCAGCCGCGCCCCGCGGACACCTCAGTTGAGGGGGGGCCCGACTGCTGCCACCAGGTACGCGGCGGTCATCGGTTCCTGTCCCCCACAGCCTGCCTTGCAACAAACTCTCTCCCGGCGCCCTCACAAGCTGCGACACAGCGCTGAGGTGCGGAGGGTGGCGGCTCCTCCTCCTCTCCCCGTTTTGGAGAACGCTTTCCGAGGAAAGTTGAGTTGCGAGAGAACCGTTTTCATACTTGCAGGTTAGTTAGCGTTAAACGATACTTGCTGCCACAATCAAATAAATAAATAAACCCAGTTAGTTAGCCAAATTTCATACCACATAGGCAAATAAACCAAAAACATCAGAACTAAGGTAGAAATTATGCTGAAAACATTAAAACGTTTGTGCTGTAAATTAATCCCCTCTGCACCTATAAATTAAAATGTATAGCTAATAGGCTTCTTTGATTTCTACTACCCTTTCGACTAATTAAAAATAATTGTGACATCCCCCGAAAACAGCCCCCCCCAAACACACACACACACACACACACTCTCATAGTTCTATTGCTAGTGTTAATAGTAAAACGTCCATCAAATATTTTTAGAATTTTCTTTCCCCTAGAAATAATAATAATACAAGCCTTACAGACTCAGGAAAAATAAATAGCCTTGATAAACTTGGAATACTGAAATTTCTTCACAATTTATTACTTCACCTTTTTTCTTGAGTTACAGCGCTCTGTGTCTCTCAAAGATCACCCTGGCTGATCTTCTCAGTAATCGCTTCCAAAACTATTCTCTATCCTTAAGAAAAAGAAAAAGGAAAAAAAAAGTGAAATAAATCAAAAAATAAAAGAAAAAAAATAAAGAAAGAAAAGCAACCCTAAAGAATCTTCATTCGTGTACAACAGATTAGTGTTAAATAAAGGGCTTTTAAAAGCAGGTGCTTTTCTCCCTTGCTGCTCTTTTTATTATGAGGAACAGAAGCTTCTCCTAATATATATAGTGAGGGAGATCCTTCTCTATTGCTTTTATTGAAAAGACCAAACTTGTGACATCACTAACCACCTTCCTATGGCTGAGTTTGCCTCATCTCTGCCTCAGTGGGCTTGGAAAAAAAAATCTACGCCTTTGCTAATATGGCAGGAACTAAGCAGTGCCAAACCCGTTGTGAAGACTTACTATCATGCCATGATAGGATGCCCCCCCCTTTTCCTTCCTTCCCCACCACCCATCCCAAATACTGCTGTCATCTGCACGACTGGCGCAGCGCTCTTCTCCCGCCACCTACACACATGCCTAACCCGTGAGCAAACTCCTCCTGGTACCTAGCCTCACCGCAAGCCTAAGCCCTCTCCCCGTGGCAAGACGGGGCGAAGCTCCTCCGGATTTGGGTGCTACCCCCGCTTCGCATCCTCTCCCGCCGGCTGGAGCCGGGCAGGAGGCGCCGCCGCCACCTGCCCCGCTCTGCCCCGGCCTCTCCCCCGCGCCGAGCCCGGGCAGCGTTTCGCCTCTCCCCTCGCCGCGGGCGGTGGGGCAGGACAAGGGGGAGAGGCGGCGGAGTCAGCCCGTGGCACAGGTGTGGGCGCGGGAATGGCCTCGTCCCTGCACCGGTACCAAAGCATCGCTCCACGCACGAGGCACCGCCGGCGCGGCGGCCTCCAGGAGCGGGCAGCGGAGGCTCTAAGTTTCACCTGCCGGAGCCTCCGCTAGAGCGGGGCTTCTTGCCAGGAGAGGCGCTGGCGGTGCCTGGTTCATATCCCAGCGCACGGAGGGACAGGTCGTTTGGTGGGACCTGAAAAAAGGCTTCAGCCGCGGGGAGGTGAGGAAAAGTCCTGGGCTTGTCTTTCTGGTCAAGCACTCCCTGTCACGACTCCTTTTCTCGCAGACACACCTTGCCCTGCTGAGTTTTCTAAGTTTTCCTCCCCACTCTCCCTAATCGCTTTCTCATCGCAAAGACAATGAGAATTTGGAGGGATGCAGTGCTTCTGCCTTTTTTTTTTTTTTTTTTTTCTCCCTGTATGTATAAACAGTCATAAATCAGTTTCCTACAAGGAAGCTGACCTGCAAAGTTAACTAGCAAGACAATCCCTCTTCCAGGTTTGGCACGTTAATTCCCGAGCGGGGAGCTGGGGGGCGGTGGACGAGCGAGGGACCGATTCTCCCAAACACCGCTCAGGAGCGAAAGCTTCCCTCGAAACAAAAGCAGGCAAGTGGGACAGGTTCAGCTAATCGGGGAGGAGCTGCGAGTTTATCCGTCAGAGGGAGCGAGAGAAAGAAGGAAATAATGACTAACCCCCCACCCGGTGCTCAGGGGCAGGCGAAATCCTGAGCTCCGCCAATTTCCCATCCTTCACCTTTGTGAAGTTCCGCCTCTCCCTCCTCCCTCTTGTTTTATTCACAATAAGGCATTTTCGTCATTTCCCCTTCCAGATTTCTATAACCTCAGTTGCACCCATTGAGGGCTTTAGCTCAGACGAGGAGTTTAACCTCCTAACCTCCCCATTCTTCTTAGGGTAGAAAGAAAAGGGTGTTCAGCAAAAAAAAAAAAAAAAAAAAAAAAAAAAAAAAAAAAAAAAAAAAAAAAAAACAAACACAGCCGTGTTGCCGTGTTGACTGCTGAGAGTTTGGAGGGGAAGGGAAGGGAGCAATTGTTGACCTTGTCCTGCAAGGAGGAGAAGTCCTCCGAGAGTTACACAACCCCAGGTCTGATGTGCTTCTGTGAGTGCAGCTTTCTGGAGGCGAGGTGCAAAGTCCCAGCATTTTTCTTCTTAAAGCTTTCAGGGTGGTCTTGAGGGCAAGCCTGCTGTGCAGCTAGTAGCAAACCGAATTGATTGCAGATTTAGGCGGATTTTCTTCCATGTACTCACTCCCGCCTGCAACCTCCCTCTGTAGAACCCTCTGGGACTCTGGCTCTCATACTCTCGTAACAGTGGTCTTCCTTGACTCTGTCTGTCTGTCCTGTGGCTGTCAGGTAAGAGAAGCTCCTATCTAGTCTGATATATTCTTGTCACTAGGTGAAGAGGTGTTTTTTTTTTTTTTTAATCCCCATCAGCAAGTCCTAGACATTTCATGGCAACGAGTTTGTGCACACTAATCTCCTTCATTAAACAATGATAGACTAGCTGTGCAGAGCTGCCTCTCCCACCCGAGAGGCGGCTGGAGCTCCGCGGTTCAGCTATTGACACAGCACACGGTTTATTTAGACAATGTGCATTTAATTTAATGCATTCAAGAGAGAGAAAAAAAAAGAAAGAAAAAAAGAAGAAAAAAAGTTGTGTGGAACTGTACACAGTTTTGCCAAATCTTCTGTCTGGTTCCTAGAATCTAGTAGACACCGAAAGGAATAATTTTCAAATTTGAGGGCAAAGAGTCAGTTATTAATTCACAAAGCCTGTTCCTACTATATATAGTTGCATAGTGAATGTAGCTGGCATCCTGTGGTGGTGTAGACTGTGGAATAGGGAAAAACTCCAGAGAATAAAGAAGAAAATCAGATTACGAGTCAGATGGAGTTTGCGAGTGCCTGGGACTGGTTAGCCCCAGTGAGCTGTCCATGGTGGTTAAGGACTTTTGATTTAGTTCTCCTCCTGTCACAGCAAGTCACAGACCACCTTCCCTTAGGTGCCCTTCTGCAAATATCATCAGAGGGGTGCCTCTCTGGTGGTTTTGGAGTACAAAAGGCATTTCTGCTCACTGAAGAATGTACCCACAGGCCAATTTAAAGATATTACCACATCCTGCATTAATGGCTCTCTAATCCTGACGTCTTATAAGGGTATGGTGATTACAGAAATCTAATACATCTTTTCCATTTCTATTTCTAATGCCTCTACTTATATCATAAACTCCAGGTAAGTAACCGGAAAATAACAGGAAGGTATTTTAAACCCTATTCAAGGAAGACTTACAAACATCCCCACACCAA